TGTGCGAGTGTGTGTGTGCCCTGACCACTCCGCGCCGCGCCGGCAGCCTGCCGCGGTTTTGTGTGCAGCTGTCTCTACTCAAGGCCTCACTTCAGAGCCCTCATGGAAGCCATGGAATCCCCTCTGGCGCGTGTCGATCCGTTCCCTGTCCTCGGGCCTCATTTTCTTCGCCGTGTTATGACAAGTGTCTCGACCTGACGGAATGAGCTCTGCTTTGACAGCTATAGGATCTGCGGTTGCTGGGCAATGTGTGCAGGCGACGCGCCCAGACTGAAGATTGAGTCGGGGAGGGGCCGGGCTAGGGCTTCAAGCACCGTTGGAAGAGCTCGTCGGAGAGAAAAATCCAGGTGGCTGGGGCGGACGGGCGTCGGTGCTCAACGGGGTCGAGAGCAGGCCCCTTTTGCGCCCCTAACGCGTGGGCGACGCCGGAGTGTCCCGGAGGTGTGACAGCGCGTAAAGTGGTTTTTTCCCTCTCGCTCCCCCCTCGGTTCCCGCTTGACCTCCACCACGCGTAAAGTGCCCGGCCGACGTGACTCAGGGGGCGTGCACATAAGAGCCAGGAGCCACACATCAGTGTACATGTACTCTATTCTCGAATCCTGCGGGAGATGAAAGGATCCTTCTTCGAAGCTTCTGGGTTGTGGGTGTGTGCCAGGCCAGTCAATGACAAGGAGGGGACGGCAGGACGAGGAGGGGGGTGGTCCCTGTGACTGCCCCCCTTGTGGATGGCGAGAGGTGAATACTGTGCAACAAGCCTCCTTCGCGATTTTTCCGTTTCTTTACTAGGGGAGGTGGTGAAGGTCCCGGGAGTGCCAGCTCTCCTCGCCTTGCAATGCCGACGATCAAGTTCAGACAGCGTGCGCGGTGCCCGGCACTGACTCTGCTCCTTGCCATCTTGTAGATTGCAGCAGCGCGGCGGGATGCTGGGCGGGAGTACCCTGGGTTCTGTTCCCCCCCAAGTCGAGGCTTCAACCTTGGGTTCGCCGTGACAGAGTGCTCTCCCGTCCCCCCTTTGCCCTTCCACGGCGACCATGTTTCTGTACATGTACAAGTCAGCATCCTTGCCGTAGGTTCGTCTCCCGTGTGCCCGGATATTACTGTCAGACCAGTCCTGCATCCGCGCGGTTGCGTCGGCGATTTACTAGTTCGAGTGATCGTCACTGCCAGGGCCGGGGGTTGCTTCCCGGCACGCTGGAGGCGCAAGCGTCATTAACTGGTAGGCTCTCTTCGTGCCTTGTTCTGCCTCGTCGGCAAGGCCTCGAGCGTCTTGGCCTGCTGCGAGATTATTCATTTGGTGCGAGGGTTCGGGCCGGCATGGCAGTCGGTGGCTGGCTGGCTTCCGCGGTGCGCCTTTTTGTACCACCAGGCCAATATGATGAAAGGGTTTTGCTCTGTTGTACAGGCTGCAATGAGTAATGAAACCTCCGAAGCTAGCATTGGATCCTTGCTACGAGCCACGGCGTAGACAAGGTTGCCGCAGTTGGACTTGGTTTGGTAATGCAGCGCCACATCTTGTCAGTCCCGCGAGACCGGACACACGTGAGAAGCTGTACGAAGTTTCGTGGCGTGGCTGGTCATAGATCATCACCAGAGACTGAAGCGAGGGCGCACGCCTGATAAATCAAAGACGACAGCATGCTCCTATGAGGCCTGGTGCATTCATTTTAGGGACTTCAACACGCTGCGTGCTGCACGGCGTCGGAAAACTGATGTTGTCGACGACACTGCGCTACAAACACTTCCAGGATCAAGTTTCAATATCATGGATGCGCGGTGTAGACATGAACAACACGAAGCAACGCTGGTTTCGAGTGCTCACGTGTTTGTCAGTATATTTCTGTTTCGTTGCCAACAAACCTATCTATTATCGTCCAATGAAACTCAACAAACAGTCGCGACATACAGAGTGCAAATAGCACAGACGAGACTGCTTTCTCTGAATTCATTGATGCAGGTTCACTCAGAGAGCTCTCCTTAGCAGTTGCCGTTAGAAAGTATCTGACTTGTGTTGCCCGGGCAAGCCATTTCGATCCAGCACCATTTTCAAGGCAAACACGGCTGTGGATTCGGGATATATCAAAGTCCTCCATATTCCATGGTCGAAATCAGCACTCTCAATTCGAATTGGGCTGTAGGTGACAGGTCATTTAGCACGGCAGCGCTTCGTTGCACGCCAACCCTGGCCTGAGATGGTACGTATGCCTGAAGGCTATAAAAAAACGAGTTGCGTCCATCACATGCCAGTGTGTCTGACACCACATGAGATGCACCGCGGCAGGAAACCGAGAGAGCTGGACACTCATGCGCTTCGAAGATGGTCGAGCGTCGTCAAGTGATAGGCAAGTCTTCTGAGCGCTTCCGTAAACATGTGACACGATGTAAGCCACGGCGTTCTGCAAGTCCTCGATCGGCCAACTGATCACGTAGACACCGTGTTTCACATGCAAGTCAATCGGAAATTGTCAATCGACAGAAAATGTAAATAGACTCAACATCCATCCATGTGTCGCAGAAAGAAAACGTCCCGTGTAAAGCCAATGCATCTATAACCTATGCTGGAAAAGACCCTCTCGAAAACCGTCGCACTGTTCATGCAGGGGTTCGTGGCCGGGAGAAAAGGAGATGCTGCCTCTATTGGGGGGGGTATCAAGATGTCCATGCCAGTCCGTTTCGAGCTCTGCCCTACCCATGGTCGACATGTCTTCATGATATAGTGTGACGAAGTGGTCGTCTGTTGTGTCCCGTGTGCGCCAATGGCGGGAGGGTGGTGTGCTGGTGTTTGTTCCACGTTTGTGTCGCTAGAAGGGCGAACTAGGAGGTGGTGTTGACGCCGGTTGCCTTGAGCGTCTTCGTCGTGTCAATCACGGCGGGCATGGCAATCTTGCGACCCTGGGCCCTCTCGGTCAGGCTGACGAGCTCCCTCATGAAGAGCTCCTGTGTTGACCTCGTCAGCTCGTCGACATCGGCCGACGTGAGGCCTGTGGTGGGAATGGGGTCGAGGACTAGCGAATGGATTAGCAGTGACTTTCAACATGACTGGTGACGGCACCAGACATACCTTTGACGGGGATTTTCCCGCCGTTGAAGACGAGACCCTTGACCCAGAGAATGTGGCTATAGTTGGCAACGACGCAGGGCACAATGGGGACGCCGGCCTGGACGGCGAGATGGAATGCGCCCTTCTTGAAGGGCAGCAACGTCGGGTCCTTGGCGTAGCTGCGCGTGCCCTCGGGAAACATGTACACGCTCTGCTTGCGCGCCTGCATATCTTTGGCGGCGCCGGCCATGGCCTCGCGGGCATCCTTCGAGTTCTTGCGGTCGATGAAGACGGAGCCGCTCAGGCTCATGAACCAGCCGAGGAACGGCGTCTTCTTGAGGGAAGACTTGGCGGTGACGCTGCAGTTCTTGGGGAAGAGGGCGCCGAGCATCAGCACGTCGAGCTCGGTCTGGTGGTTGCCGATGAAGACGGCGGGCCGTGTCGTCTCCAGAATATTCTTCGGGTCCTCGATCTCGAAGATGACACCGGTGGCCACGAGCATGATCCATTTGAAGAAGCGGGCCGTAGCCCACTGGGAGCTGCCGGGGTTGCCGATGAGGCGCAAGAGTATGGCGGCGAGGGCGCCGTACAGGGCGGCGGCAATGAGACAGACATAGGCGGCAAGGACACGCGCACCGAAGGCGGCCTTGGGAACGACGATAGATAGCATGTAGAGAGCAACTGTCAGGGCGAAGTAGCCGACGAAGAACTTGTAGAGATACCCGAGGATGCCGGACATGGCGACTTCAGGGGGGCCCGCGACGGGGTAAGGTTCGGTCAAGGGTCTGGCGCGCGCGGCAACGAGGTTCCAAGTGGCTGAGGGTGAAGGACGAGGCCGTGAGGCGGCGATGGCGGGGTGCTGTGGTTCGGTACGGGCTCTCGAGAAAACGGGGCGAGAAAGGTACGTCGGGAAAGAGATGTCGGGGCTAATGTGGCGATGGGGGTCGCATCATCAAACAAGTCGTGACCAAGAAGAGGAGTCTTGCTAACGAAGGATCCAGTTTGTTCAGGTTGGGCGAGGAGAAAGGTGAAGGGGGTGCAGCGGCTCACCGCAAGCAACTGGGACGCCAAAGGAGACAAAATGGCGGGTCACAAGTCCAACGGGCTGGGCAGGTGGGGTGGAGGAAGAGTGGAAGCTGCCACCCGCACCAGCAAGCAACACCAGCAACAGAACAGTGACGGGGTGCTCTTTCTGGTGGGATGTGTGGCTCGTGCCCGATGTTGGCAGGTTGCTCATTGGTTGCGTGAGCCACATCACAGGATTGCCGAGGCTTCCCCAATAGAATTTCCCCATCTGCCTCCAACAAACGTGCCTGCCTGCGGTGTTCTGTCAGGTACGGTAGGTGCCTCCCATCAATCTTGCACTGTTTCGGGAGACACCTGCCACGAACGCACCTTACCTCGCAAGTAGAATTTCAGCCTCGCCCTGAGCGACGCGATTCTATGCGAGGAGCGAGAGTACCATGGGAATCTGACCTGAGCCTGACACACCTCTCTGAGACATCGTCACTGCTGTGCTCTGTTCTTCTTCAAGCCTCCAAGCTTCATGCCAATCCCCCCACATCGTTCATCGTTCATCGTTCAGCGTTCAGCGTTCATCTTCCAGCGTTATCGCTATCTCTCGCTGCTTAGTCACTGCCCCCTGCGTGATCCCCCGACGACAGCGGCTCGTCTCGGGTGCTGCTTGCCTCCGTCAATTGGGCTGTGACTGACAGCCCTCGCAACCGTGATCGCACGACATCGAGAGAAAGGTGCCACGGCGATTTCCATTCTCGCTGCAGTCCGACCCAACTCGTCCCCAGCGCCGGCATCAATCTGGCCCGCACCATCCCCGACACCAACCAAGGCCCGTCCCCGTCCAGCTCATCCGGCAGCTTGCATCTAGCGTGCAGCTCGCTCCCAAGTCGCATGTCGCAGCGCCCCCGATCATGACCTTCGATTGATAGACCAGGCAAAACCCACCATGGACCCCTCACGTCGAGGCCAGCCTCGCCTCTCCGTACGCCTTCCCGCCGTCAACCTCGCGTCCGACATCAGCAACACGGTCGTCCCCCTCCCAGATCTGCCACCCATCTCGGCACTCTTTCTCATCGACTTTGACGTCAAGGCCGGTTACACAATCGCCTGGAAGCAGGCTGCCCCCGGCATCGAGCTCGAGGGTCTCGTCGAGTACAAAAGCTTGCCATCCGGCCTGCACACGGTTTCCGATGATCTCATCTATTTCGTCCACGAAGGTGCCCATGCCGGGCTGAGCGCCTTCGTCAACATGCCCTGCGACGAAGAGGATGCCCGCAATGCGCGCATGATCGCCGTCGGTGTTCTCGTGCCCCTGAGCTACGGAAGGCTAGGCCGCGCCTGGCGTCATGCCGACGGGCTCAAGGAGCTGGCAGTGTGAGGCCCGATCACTGATCATTTTGTCAAAGAACCCAGATGGCTGACTTGTCCCCCTATAGCAAGCTGGCAGAGGACCGCAAGCGGACTGGCCTCCTCGAGGCATACTGGTCAAAGGCCAAGAGCCAAGAGGAACCAGCGCCGGATCTGCGCCGGAGTGATGCTCTCCTTGAATCACCTCTCGTGGGCGCACATACACCCAAGTTGAAGCAGGGTCACAACAGGAATCGCTCGGCGTCGGACGGAACAGTTCTCAGCCAACCTGGCAACCGTCTATCCTCACATCACCCTGCATGGAGCTTGATGCCGCTGCTCGACACATTCGGGCCACTCATCTTCCCCATCCACCGGGCCGCCCTCCTGCGGAAACGCATCTTGCTCTCATGCCACGCGCCGGTGCATGAGATGTGTAATTTTGGTTGGTTTCCTGGCGCCGGCAGAAGAGAAGTGGCCGAGAGAATGCTGACCGCGTGCAGTATATAACATCTCAGTCCTCTCCAACATACCCCTCTCCGTCACGGAGATCTTAGGTTCAGACTCCCCGTCACAGCGTTTGCGACCGCTCTTCTCCATCGGCGTGCACGACATCAATTTCTTACAAGAAGATTTCGAAGCCTCCAAGCGCCCGAGGACCAAAACGGACAACAATGTGGCTGACGAAGCGGGCACTGGCTGGGTCGCTTGCACGACCGATAGCATCCTGGCCATGAAGGATACACTGTGGGACATGCTGATTACCATGCCACCCCCGTATGCGCCCAATGCAAAGGAAAAGGTCTGGCCGACCGTGGAATGTCCCCAGGGCGTTCCGGTTCGGGCGACCCAACGTGATCTCCGTCGGTTCCGCGCCCTCAAGGGTGGGCTTTCTCGCCTGAAGACGACAACGCCAGGGCCCCGTCCCGCCGCTGAGAGCCCACCAGCAGAACACACGTCAGGCATCCATCTCACGACGGGTGCCTTTCCCAGCACAGGCGTCGATTCGGACGAGGCGCTCGATAAGATTGTCGAGCCAGTCAGTTGGACGGCGCTTGCCTATAGCGGCTTTCTCTGGTGGGCAAGCGCAGGTGAGCAGGGTCGCAGCGATGAACAGGAGGAGGCAGCACTGGATGCGTCTCTACTGGCAGATCTGGGCCCTTCGACGCCGAGCATGTCGGCGCCATCATCAGGCCGAAGGCTGAGCGGCGGTATGGGTGACTCGGTCAATTCCTTGGCCGGACGTCGAGCTACGCTGTCGACCGATGACGACGAAGCCAGAAAGGAACTAGCCATCATAGCCTACTTTCACCGCCTCACGACACAGATGCTGTCAGTCATGGCAGACGCCGTGGACAACTCGGAGCAGGAGCGCTACGAGGATGACGAGGACGACGAAGACACAGATGCCGCGATTGACGAAAGCGAGGAAAGCAGTCCGCTCCAGCGGGGCGTGACTAGCAGGGAAGAGCTCGGCCCAGTCCAGCTCGGCAGTCACGCCGTGGAGAGCATGGGCCTCGATGTCTGGAACGGTCACGACGCCCACTTTGTCCGCGAGCTAGCGTCACTGTACTTTGATCGCGAGGTACGCATCGAGGGCAAGGGGGTCGAAGTTTGCGGGGTACGCGTGTGTTGAGGAACCCGTACTGCGCGTGCTGTGCGTAGTCTGGGTGTGGCGTTGAGGGGTTGGCCGATGGTACCGCGGACACGATGGCGTCGTAAGGATGAGCGGGCCAGCCACCCCGACACGATTCGGACGTATTTGGGCCGATTCTGCGAGCGAAGGAGGGGGTGTCGAAGGGAGGTGACGAGATCGTCAACGTGATGGGCAAGATGATCGAGCCGTATATTAGTGGTGGGAATTTCGGGCACTCGCAGCGTGGGTGAGAGTGTGGCTGACGCCTGTGTTCCCTTTTCGCACCGAATACTTCACCGCGGAAGACTTGGTTGGACTGGATAATCAGAAAGAACGCGCGCGAACGAACGAAGGCAGTTCATCAGACATGTTGAGGCCAAGAAGCAAGCCACGGCGAACGAACCAAATAATCAGACGAAAGCATGGCAAGGTCCGGGGGGTCGTATGCCGATCGTGGCGGACATTGGCCCCCAAGGCGCAACGGCAGGGGGTCGATGACCACAACGGGTATGAGTACTCGACGAGGCAACGAGCTGCGTGCCCCAATCCAACCCCCCCGGAGCACAACGTCACACAACATGAGCGCAGACGGACCAAAACGGTCTGAATTGGTGCGCTAATAAGGCGCAATGAATGTGCACGAATCGACGGCGGCCGGCCATTTACGACGGGGGTCAGCGCTCCGACCAGAGTCTCTGGCCAAAACGTGGACCTGGGCCGCCAGCATCAGCATGGCTGGCTGTGACTGGACGACGTTTGTAACTACCGGGCCAGGGGCGGCTTGGCGTGCGACGTAGATGATGGCCCCCTTCTTCTCCTTGGCTACTTTGCTTCTTTCTGCTCCATGTTACCGATTGGGACGGTGTGCCCCGGACTTTCCCCGCAATCTGTGCCGCCCGAGGTTGATGGAGTACTTGTGCGAGGAGAGGGCCAGAGAGAGAATGGTCGAGGGGGAGACGGGGGGGGGGGGGGCGGGAGGAGCAGCGTGCCTAGTAGAAGCCGCGGGGTACTCGGTAATTGATGTGTGGGGAAGAATGCAGACTATCACCAATGTGCATGCTTTGGACGCGTGAATTGAGGGGAGAAACGAAGCTTCTGCCAAGCCTTGTGGGGGAGAAGGGCTGACGTGGAGCTCTTCTCGGCCCAAGTTGACGCTGTTCTTTTCAACTGTCACCACAACTCCTCCCAACTCGAAGGAGGCGGGGGGGGGAGCTAGACTTAACTCAATCATATATCGTATACACAGGAGTCAGGTGTCGACTGCGCTGATTCAGGCACCTGGCGAAACAAACATTCCCTGGCACGACAAGGTCCCCCCCTGCTCGTCCTCGAGCTCGGAGTGTTAAGCATAATGTAGTTGCCACACCTGGTTGCCATTCGGCCCTGCGAGATTTGCGGTGCCGAGATCTCGCCTCCTCTAATCTCCTGGTGTTTGGTGTGCCTGCAAAACCCCCTTGACCATCTCAACTCCCAACCCTACCGCCGGGCCAAGAAGGCGTGGAATGGTCTGAATAGGGACAGAAGAGCGGGCGGAACCGACAGCGGGCTGAGAAGGCTCCCAGCTTTCAGACTAACACAAACCCACGGCTCAATCCCGTTATTTTCGCCGATTGAGGTTTCATTTAGGATAGTGTGTCCATCTCCTCCCCCTGGTCCGGCATGGCCCCTGCCCACCCCGGTCATGCGGGAGGTCATGGCAGCTACAGACGGTCCAGCGCATGTTCGCCACGGGTTAGAAGGGGCCGGAGGTTGTCTGTCTGCTCGGCGCCTTGGGGATGCTGGGATTCGGGATCCTACGTGGATGATTGCTGCTCCTCTTTTTCTGGGTCAAAGTGATCTACCTCTGGCAGAGTCCTGGCAGTCGTGGGGCATAGAGACACCTCACATCGTCAAGGACGATATAAGACGCTCGACTTTGCCCACCTCTCTGGCATCACACCGGAACCTTGTCACCACCCTCCACCTTCTCCTCCTCCTTTTCCCTTTCTCCCCACCACACCAGACGCAGACATGGTCAAATTCTCCATCCTTACGAGCCTCTTTGCTCTGGCTTCGGCCGTCTCGGCCCAGTGCGGCTCCGGCACCCCTGACGCCCGGGTCACCAGCTCGGGCAGCACCTTCACGGCCACCCGTGGCAGCTCCACCGTCTACTCGGGCACCGACTACCGCGCGGCCATCCAGGCCGCCGTCGACTCGATCAACTCGGGCCAGCGCGTCTCCGTCATCGCCTCGGGCAGCATCGGCGCCAGCACCATCTCCATCGGCAGCGGCAAGATCTTCGAGGGCTGCGGCACCATCAACGTCTCGAGCCGCAGCGGCCGTGGCGCCATTGAGTCGGTCAACACGAACAATGTGCAGATCCCCTTCCTCACCATGACCGGTAGCCCCTACTTTGGTCTCCGCTTCTACGGCACCAGCGGCCTCCGCCTCGGCCGCATCACCATGAACCTGAGCGCCGGCCTCGGCATCCGGTTCGACCGCGACCAGGCGGCCAACAGCGACGTGCGCATGGACGTCATCAGCGTCACGGGCGCCAGCAGCCACGCCGTCGAGACGTGGAACATCAACGGCCTCAACATCAACCAGGTCATCGCCCGCAACTGCGGCGAGGCCGGCCTCCTGATCCAGGCGACGACCAACGCGCAAGTCGGCCTCGTCGACGGCAACAACGTCGGCACCGGTACCGGCTACGGCACCCTGCGCTTCGCCAACCGCAACGGCCGCAACTCGGCCGGCCAGTACCCCACCGGCAACATCAACGTCGACCGCGTCATCTCGCGCGGCGGCGGCCGCGGCGTCTTCTGCGTCTCCGAGTCCGGCGGCGCCACCATTGGCAACGTCGACCTCGCCAACAACGGCAACAACGCCATCCTCATCGAGAACTGCTACAACGTCCAGATCCGCGGCGGCACCGTCAACGGCGGCGGCGAGGTCCGCCTCGCGGCCCGCTCCGAGTTCGCCAACAACCGCGACATCTCCATCACCCTGCGCGTCGACAACACCTCGGTGCGCGAGTCCCCCTGCGGCGACAACACCACCTGGAACCTCTCCGGCAACGGAGCCCGCAACATTTGCTGAGCGGCGAGCGTGCCGAGGGAAAACATGGGAGGGAAAGTTGAGAGGTGGACGTTGCTGAAGCGATCTTTGTTTATTTTTGAGGGGGGCCCCATGATGGGGCTCTTTATGTTCTGTCCATATCTTGCTTCACGTACAAAATTATGAATAACACCAGTCGGGCCCGACGTACATACAAAAGAGGATTTTTCTCTAGTTTGGACATTCGTTTGGTGAACTGTGCATGTAGTAACACTGTTGGGTTATGGCGAGCCATCTTGGAGGTTCAAGCCCTATTGTGCTTTCACCATGCGGCAAGATGCGAGGAGTAAGTCGGCGTCAACATGCAGAATGAGTTACCAAGAGAAGAACGATATTCAAGCGAAAGTCAATGATTTGGGACGGTCGATGCCGGTAGTGTGATGTAATGATAACCCAGTGGCGATCGTCAATGCCTCCCGCCAACCGACCGAAAGAGAGGCGAAACCATGTCACGTCCAATGTGTAGCCGCGGGCAGAGTTTCCTTGGCAGTACTCACTACAGATGGCTCCGACGAAGGCCGCAAAGAGTAGTCGCTGCTGTCTTCGTCTCGCTCCTTTTCATCCTGCACTATGTTCACTGATTCATTCTGTTCCGCGACCTTCTGCAGCCACGGCCAGAGAAGAGGCCACCTCAATGTCACCCTGGACCTTGTCTTATCCATAGACTTGGCCTCCAAAAGATTTCCATCGGGACTTGCTTCATTCGACATGATTGATTCCAACCCTTCGATCTGTGTTTCCAAGCTGCGGATGGACTCGGTCGAGTCGTGATGCTGAAGACGCCGTCGAGCAGAGCTTACTTCCGCCGGTTGCCGCCAAGTCGCGGCATCGTTCCTTGCCTCGGCCAGCAATACTGTCAGTCGAGCAATGATCTTGTTTTCGCACTCCCTGAGATCAGCCCGCATCTTGTCCAGCGGGCGGTCTTTCCGCAGTTTGGCGAGGTACAGGGGATACTTTTCGACGACAACGGCGCAGCAGAACACCCGTTTTCGAATGAGCCTGAGCTGGAGCCCGACATTGTCAACGAGTTCGGCGCAGATAGCGTGGAGCGTGCACAGTTGCTCATCGTGGGGGAGCCCGGTCTCCCGCAAGATGCGCTGCGTGGCGTTTGCGGCACGGACGGCGGCCTCCAGGTCTCGGAGGATTGTGGCAACTTTCGGATCGCGCTTCTCGAGGCCGCTGATGGTACTTTGAAAATATCGTAGATGCTCTGTTACTATGGGCGCAAGGTCGGTGATGCTGGTTGATGGTTCCGCCATTGCTCGAAGAGGTATTCGAAGTGCTGATCTCAAGTCGTCTTTTCTTCTTTTTCAGAAAAGCTACGAGGAATACAAAAGAGCAGAAATCTTATGCTAGGTTTGTCGGTCACAGTGTCTCTGGGGCTATGTATCAATCCTCGGAGCAGCTCAACATCATCGGGGTTTCGTTGCCACGTGGATGGCCTCAAAGGAACCCAACAGGATTCGTTCGACGAGATCCTGCAGCCTGATGACTGCTGTTCAGGCTGGGCATTCAACCCACCTGCGAATCGGACATGCCGAACACGACTGGATGCATGGCGATTGGCACATGAACATCAGCTAATGCGCCTATGGGTACTGGCTTCTTCATACACTGGCCTGTGACCCATCCCTCAGTCAGGCAGCACTGACATGAGTCCGGAAATACTTGCCGATAGGTTAGCTCCTCCTCTGGAGCCTTGAACGCACCAACAAGTGCGAAGGTGGTTCTCAAGGAATCGGCCACCGGACATGCTCAGTGTCGGCGACATAAAACCATGTATGATTGTTCTTCGATTTCATGCTGCATTGTACAGTCCGACGTCCATTCAGCCGTTGTGCGGCCAGAACAAATCGCATTCAGTCCCCCCGACTCGAGCTAACCATGACAGACTGTGTAACCACGATCTTATCCCTCCCTCTTATGTGAACCAATTCCTCCTGACTGCTAGTGTCGTTGTTTATCTGAACAGTATTTCGATACGCTTGCATGTCGATGTCGTTTCCATTGGCAGACTTGGACTTTGGCTTGGAGCTGCCTGGGACCCCCATGTTGTAGTAGTTGTTTCTGCTCTTCGAGACAGCTTTGGCTTTGCGGAACAGGCCAGGCCCGCACCCGATGATGACGGCTGTGATGCGGGATTGACTCGTCAGCATGGAAGTCGTCAAGGAGGGAAGAATAGGGTCATCAAAGGGGTGCATACCGATTGCCGACTCCACGATCCCCCACAGCGCGAGCCACGATGTTGCGGGCTGCTTGAATGACGAGCCCTCGACTGCGTTGCGCCCGAGGTAGGCGACGCGAATGGTCGATACGGCGACGCAGACCCAGCCGAGGCAGAACAAACCCGCTATGCTAAGCTTGCGAGACATGTTCATCTGGAGGTTGCGAATGAGACCAAGGGGCAGAAGCATAACTACTCGCTGGCGTTAGAGAGAGAAAGGGGGCTGCATTGATTGGATTTTCTTTTCGGCAAGGTTTTCTCACCAAGAATGTCTGTGAGGATGTCTACAGCATAGGAGTACCAGAGACTGATATACGCCGCCTCAATGTCGCGCTGCGTACCGCACGCCCCGGCTGTGAACCAAGCTTTCAAACTGGAGCAAGACAGCATCGACGAAGTGATGGCGCCTGCCAGAGTCTGTATCACGAACGTCAGTATCTCTCTTCTGTCGGGCGGAGCACAGTGTTGAGTCGGGGGCTCCATACCAAAATGCAAATCCCAACGGTCACCCACCAGAGGATGGTGAACAGGCGTAGATTGACCATCAGCCTCTTGTAGACTGCGAGGAGGGACCCCTTGACGAGCCACAGGCTGATCCAGAGACCCGAAGTGGTCACGAAGAATGTTTTCTGGATCCTCAGACTGTCTTCCAAGATTGTCGCGTACATCGGTATCCTGCCAGCAGCGAGGTCCTCGAGCCTGAATATCGTCGGCCCTGCCAACATGTAAAGAATGGAAATTACCAAGAATACAATGTACGCCGCGATGAGAAAGCCATCTTCCCAAGCGAGATGCCTGCGCTCGAGCAGGCTGGTTGCCAGTCTGAAGCCAAAGACTGCACTGGTCAGGGTGACCATGCAGATACCGGTTGCCAAAAGCGCCGTGTTGTCTAGCGTATTTGAAGACATGATGTTCGCTTTGCCTTTGACGACCGCAGCCGGAACTCTGGGCAGGTGTTGGGTTCCGAAGTATCGGGACGAGAAGGACCAACCTTCAGTTCATATTGTATCGCTTGAGTGCGGCCCAGCTGCGGGCCACAGGCGAGACCTCGGGGTCATTGTTCTTGAACGGTTACATCTCTTACCTGCCGTGGGCTGCATGTCAGGACGACATGGGTTAAGTCTAGGCTGCCTACACTGTGTCGTTTGTAGGTTGGCTTGGCCCAAGGACAATGCCGGTGACATTGCCTCATCCGTTGTTCTCGTCACACTCTTCATGCATTGCATCCTTCGACCTGCATGTGCCGGGGACCCTGCCCGACGGACTGGGCCCTCGGTTCCCCATTGCCATGTGGAAGGATGCAAATTGAATCGGTAAATTGGTCACATCGTAACATTGATTTGTTTGACAAGGAACATTTAACCAGCATCCAAGTAACGCCCTGAGTATTTTCATGGTCCGTAGGCATGTTTGGGATGTTCGGGAGCTATTCTGATGCCGAGGCGTAGTTTGCAACGAGGGGCAAGCGAGACATTGTAGGATTGAAGCTCATAAGCAGCTTGCCGTCTGTTAACACCATGTCGACAGACTGGAAGGGGTAGCATTCCTTCGTATACAGTGTACAACTTGGAAGAGCCGGTGACGCCACCATCAAGGTTGTTAGTTGCTAGTTGGTGCTAGTCTCGAACACAGTTTCTGGTGGCTGCATCGGCCGTGCTTCGCCGTGCTCTGATAGAACGTCGATACTACTCTACCCTACAGCGTATGCCAGAAAATAAAGACGAGTGCTCAGGTAAACTTCGGAGATACTGTCTGTTTGTTCAACTAAATGATGGCGCGCGTTCAGCAGTCTCCCATCGACATCCAGAACGCTGTGCTGATCTCGCTTCTTTTGTGGACTCTGACCCCAGGGAATGGCACAACACTCATTGCCTCGCCACCGTGGCGCTACTGGCGGGGAGGACGGCGACGGCCCGTTCGTGCGATACCCAAAATTAAGTAGTAGGGCTTTCGTGTGGGCGAACGACCAACAATCAACGCAAAAGAGGGTTGGCCCAGGAGCATTTCACAGCACAGGGTTCCCGGCAAGGAGACTCCGGGTTGATCGTCTTGCTCCCCCACGGCCACTGCTAACCGACGTCTCTTCGAATCCAATCGTGGCCTTGCAAAACCTTAGATCCCTGAAAGGGGGCTCAACCCTGAACCCTGAACCCAGCAGGTGGGCTCAACTTTTTGACCGCAGCCAACAGGTCTGTCAGGTTTCGAAGGAAGTGAGGTCTCCTAGAAGAGCAAGCATGTGCTTCCATCTGTCGCCAAGAATTGACTTCCTCCGGTTGGAGCCGGAGGAGCCCACGAACCTCGCTGCGTGTTCTTTAGCACTGACAACCGAGCTCACTGTCATCTCGGCTCCGGCGGGATTATGGGTTGGTAGTCTCATGCAGTTAAGCTCAACTGCGGCATCGATAGTTCGCCCATGAACATGCCTCGCGTGGCGAGCATGGCTCCCTCAGGTGTCTCATCAACCTCTTTAAGACATTGCTATTCCAACATGCCCCCCTTGACAAGACATTCGCTTCCTTCTCTCCTTTCTCTACCCCTCTCCTCGTGGTCTCGATCTTCTGTCTACCGTCCATCCAGAAGGCAGCCCTGTGTTTCATCATGATTGCCACTCGATTGATCCTTTCCCTCTCCTTGAGCGCCATTGGCGCCGCGGCCCAGGCCCTTGAGTCTCCGGACTTCAATGTGACCCAACAACTGCTGGACCTCGGCGTCAACGTCGGTGATCTCCCGGAGCTGTCAAACTTCGTGGAGCGCCGTTCCGCCAATCTCCCCTGCGCTGCTGCGGTTCGTTACCTCGCTGCCTACCCCTGCAGACAGTTCTGTTTTTCATTCGTTCCGCTCTGAACTGACACCCGAGTAAACAGTGCCTCTCCTTGTCTGTCACCTTTGGGCGTGATTCTGTCCTTTCCAGAGGCGAGGCTCCCTATCAGAGCTTCACAGGTGCCTATTGGTCTGAGAACCAGGGCGAGGTCGACCCTTACTGCATCTTCAAGCCGGCCAACCCATCAGCCGTCTCTGTGCTCGTCCTCCTGTCGCGACTCACGCAATGTCCCTTTGCTGTCAAGAGTGGCGGCCATGCTGCCTTTGCCGGCGCGTCAAGCATTGAGGGTGGCATCACCGTGTCGCTGGAGAAAATCAACCAGGTCACGCTTTCAAGTGACAAGAAGACGGTACTCATCGGAGCGGGCAACCGGTGGTCCGATGTGTACCGGAAACTTTCAAAATCAGACGTGACCGTGACCGGCGGCCGCGTGTCTAGCGTTGGCGTTGGGGGTCTTTCACTCGGAGGTGAGTTGAGTGTGATGCTTCAGCAAGCGCAGCGTTCAGATGATTAACATGGCCCCAAGGCGGCATCTCGTTCTTCTCCAACCTTCACGGCTGGGCATGCGACAATGTTGAGAGCTATGAAGTATGTACCTCCCAAGATGGACCACCGTGTGATGCTGCCACTCTCAACACGAGACCAACTTGATCTGACTCTGCCCATAGGTCGTCACCGCCACGGGCATCATCCTCACGGCGAGCCCGAAGCAGAACCCGAACCTGTACTGGGCGCTCCGCGGCGGCGGCAACAACTTTGGCATCGTGACCAACTTCACGTTCCGGACGATCCCGCTGCCGGGCGGCCAGCTGTGGGGCGGCACCAAGACGTTCATGGAGCCGGCCCTCGACGCCGTCGTCGACGCCTTCGCCGGCGTGGTGACCGACTCGCCGCAGGACCCCAACGCCGGCCTCTGGGTCGCCTGGCTCAAGAACAGCGGCCTCAAGCTGGCGGCCACGGAGCTCTGGTACGCCAAGCCCGACGGCGGCTCGGCCGCCATCTTTGACACCTTCAATGCCATCACGCCCATCGCCGACTCGACCGGCAACAAGTTCCTGCCCGACTACACCGACGGCCACCAGGCGGGCAACCCGTCGGGGCTGCGCGAGATCTACTACGGCCTCACCGTCAAGGCGGACGCGCGCATCGCGCGCCTCGCCCGCGACATTTTCTACGAGGAGTACCCGGCCTCCGAAGGCGTCGCCGGCGCCAACCCCGTCATGATCTTCCAGGCCATCACGACCGGCCAGATGGCGCGCATGCGCGCCAACGGCGGCAACCCGCTCGGCCTCGACGCCGCCGACGGGCCCCTCTACCTCATCCACGTCGCCTGCTGGTGGCAGGACGCCGCCGGCGACGCCGCCATCTACGCCATGATCTCGACCGTGCTGGCGCGCATCACGGCCGAGGCCAAGGCCCTCGGCCTGCAGAACGACTACGTCTACATGAACTACGCGAGCGCCTTTCAGGACGTCATCAAGGGCTACGGCGCCGCCAACGCCGCCCGGCTGAAGAGCATCGCCAGGACCTATGATGTCACTGGCGTCTTCCAGAGGCTGCAGCCCGGCCACTTCAAGTTGAACCGCGCCCCGGTGACGGGCACGGGGTACTTCTCGGGTCTTGATGCGTAGCTGGTGTTGCTTCACGCGATAGTAACTAGAGTCGGGGATGTCATTGAATGATAAGGTATTCGAGGTGACCATTGCTTTGTGTCGTGATTATGCATACACGCCGTTGTGTTGGCGGTGCATTCACAGAAATCCTGACGCGAGCATCTAACACCGCAAGATTATAGTCACGGCAGTGCTACGACAACAGTTCGCCCTCTTTTCTTCTGCTTCTTCTTCTTTCTTCTTCGTTGTGTTGTTGCCTAGGGCAGTATCTACTCTATCACCACAGTCCGTAATCGTCCCCAAAAGGTCTAGCCAGCCAATGTACCTCCGTGGTGGCGATGGCTTCGAATATCTCCTTGTCGTCTGGCTCATCCAAGCTACGACTCGTTCAGTTTCGCCATCCTAGGTTACCCCCATCCTACTATACCTATCATGCTTGTTTGCGCTCTCCTCCCTGGTCACCTCCAACTCTTCCATAACGCCAGCAGGTAGTTGGCGAACGTCTTCTTCTCCGTCGACGTCGTCATGGCCCTCAAGAACTCCGATCCATCGATACCCAGGTGGGGGAACAACGAAGACTGCAGGTTTTGGATAAACATGTCCCCAGTCTTTGTATAGATGACCTGCTCCAGTGCTGCAATCTCCGTGAGGACCTGTTTGCTCTGTGCGTCCGTCACGGGTTTGAATTGCGGGTCGCGGAGTATCTCCCAGCAGAGCGGGTGGAAGCGCTCGATCATGAAGCGGTCAAAGCCGGGGATAGTCGGGTTCGGCGAGCCTGTCGGCGCTGTGGGATTGGCCGAGATTGTGGCGATGTCAGGACCACCCCAGACGCCGACCATGCGCGTCAGCACGCCAATGGCCAGGCGGCTCGGACCCAGGTTGCCCTCGATGGTCCGGCCGAGGGAGATGACGGATGTGATCATAGATTCGAAGAAAGCTTGATTCGTCTCGCTGATAAACACAGACTCGAGGTTGTTGTTCATGATGATTTGGAGGAATGACAGATATTCCCTGCGCAGTTCTCCGAGTTGAATCTCGTCATCGGTGCCATTGATGGGTTCTGAGAGGCCAGTGAAGATTCGCTGCAGCAGCGGGGTCAGCAGCATGTTCAGTACGTCATAAATCTCCGTCTTGAAACCGAACACGACCTGGTCAAGAAGGCGCAGAAACATGGCCATCTCGTCTTTGGAAGAGCTCTGACCGAGAAACCCTTCAATCCACTGGGGGAGCTGAGGCAGCACAGCAGCGCCCAGAACTCCTAGAAGCTTGGAGAAAGAGGAACGGCACGCAGTGCGGATCTCGGCAGAGCTGTTGAGCTCCCGAAGCGCAATCAAGATGGCTTCAGCCGCACGAGAAAACTCGGCAGACACAAGCTTGTCGGGAGGCGGGCGAGGGTGAGCCGCGGTACTACCGGGGACCCAGTCAGAGAAGCCGTGGGCTAGAGTACCAAGGGCCATGATGACGTGATGAATCTGAAGAAGGGCTTGGGCGTCTCCAGACTTGGCCTTGGGCAGGTGGTTCTCAATGTCGGTGAACAAGGGATCCATCACCAGGCGAGCATACAGCGCCTGCTTGTCTGCTGGAGTGGCTGCCGTCGAAGAAATGCATCCGATGGCCTCGAACAGGTAGAGCTGGCTCGTAAAGAGAGCATCGGCCGAGTGATCCGACTCGTCGGACGACATGTCATCGTCAGCGTCATTTTCCGTCACTTCGGCCTTGATGGGGAGCAGATCGCCGATGGACTGAATAATCGTTTCGGCCACATTGCCGACCTGCGCTCGGAGGAACTTGACAAAGCGGTGGAATAGATACCACGATCGTGTTTTGATGCGGACGTGGCTGTGGTGAACTAATTGAACAAAGTTCTCCAACACGCGTGGGATGTACTCCTGATGAGCATCGAAGATCTGCCAGTATCGTACGCAGATCTCCATATACTGTAGCACAATGGCAGGATGAGAGAAACTAGCAATGCCTGTGGACGCCAAGTTAGCATGTGGATTTGTCACCGACGATATGACATTGACGTACCCGACTCAACCATCTTCTTCATCATGATGGTTAACCTCTCAGCTGCGGCTCCGGAAGGTTGGTTCTTCGAGCTCAACCCCTGGTTCGGCAAGGCAAGCTCGCCAAAGAGATACATCTCGTGCAGAGCCAGGTCGAGATCCCTCCAGTCCATCTGCTCGCCTCGCTGGTCAAGGGTCTGGAACGTCTCAGCCACAAGATTGCTCAGCACATCAATGTAGAGGTTCTGGTCAACAGCGGCGACAGTCTTTTGCAGGACTTGCAGTCGCTTACGAAGCTCTTGAAACTCGGCCTCATCCGTCTGCTCATCTTCAGCACCCCAGTTGGAGGTTTCATCATAGCGCATCTTCCGGATAATGGCATTGAGAATGGGCGGCAACATTTCAGAGTAGTTCTGCGGCAGTGTGCCGGCCTTGCGCAGAAGCGTGAGAAGGTCCGTGAGCGAGGGGATGACAGTGGAGCAGATCTCGTCGTATTCGTCCGAGAAGAAGCGGAGCAGGAAGGGAAGGAAATCGTGAAGATGTTGCTCGCCACGGCTGCGGGTCTGGCTATCGACCTGTCCGTCTTCAAGAACCCTGACAACATCAGTCATGACCGTGTTGACCAATTTGGCGATAGCCTCAGCGAGATCAGTATCGTATTGGGGGGTCGATTTCAGTTCGTTCAAGGGTGCGCTGGCGACAAGTTGGCCGACAATGTCCCGCAGGCTAAGGAACGAAAGGAGCTCCATCTTCTCGGGACCCTTCATTCTCTTCGCCACAATTTCAGTCAAAGCATCAATGGCTGCGTCGCGGACCTTGTCCTCGGTGCCGCCGGGGTTACTCCTTCCTACAACGGGGAGGATAAGGTTGAGCATTTCCTGGTTCACGACAAGACCAATGTCCATCCAGCTAACCCACTTGCCAATAACCCTCATGATAGTCTCGGTAATCTGGTCATTCTGACCAGCGTGGCGCACAAGAAGATCCTTCCACGACTGAGCAATCTTCTGGACGTGACGGTCCCTGAGCTGGTCCTTGAGATCGGTGTTTCGCTTGGCGTCGTTGCTGTTCCGGCTCAGCAGCATATCGGCAATCTCATCATGTACGGACCCCAGGATTCGGAGGTAGAGGACAGTGCCGGAGATATTGTCCTGCTGAGAGCTGTTGGGCGAGTAGGTGAGCGCCAGGAAGTCGTCGATGAAGCTTTCCCAGCCGTCGGCATAGAGAAAAACAAAGAGATACGTCAGAGTCTGAGCAAGCTTGTTCTGCAGAGAGGGTGGGTCGACCTGGTCCTGACGATCCTGGCCGTAGACCTGGCGAACGTATTCGAGGAGGATCTGCTTGAGGAACGAGAGGCTGGCGCTGTCGAGCCCCTGGGTATGCACCGCATTGTTGACAATTTCCAAGCAGACCATGCGCACGACCTCGGAGGTCCGGGGCGTTCGGGCAAAGAGGTTGGCGCTGGCTTGCCAGCCCTGGGGGTCAGTTCGCAGCTGGTTAAGAAATTCGAAAGCCTGTCCCTTCAGAGCCTGGTCCGAAGTGGGGCTCCACGCGATTTCGACCGCATTCTCGATCTGTAGGGAAGCAGTCTGTTAGCACTTGAAGTATCACTACCAAGTCTCTGCTGGTGAGTTGGAGGTGTCCTTGGAGCAGAGTCTAGTCTGCCGTGCCTTTTTTTCAAAGAATACGGCAAGCGGCTGATGACGTTGGCGAGGCTAGCGAAGGAGAAGCTGATATGAACGCATGCAGACGTACCTGAGCCTCCATATTTAGATGCGTGTTGTGTTGCTGATGCGCGAAGAGCGAGATGAGGCGGGGTGGGTCGCTGGTTGCTTTTGAAGCTGCTATTGACCTGGCAGCTGATGAAGCCGTGCATGCGGCATAGTTGACGAGAAGAAGAAGCGACGAGGAAGCTACTCAAGCGCCATTACAGGGTCGAGTCGAGGGGTTTGGTTTCGTTTGGCTGGGTTTTAGAGGGGGTCAGGAGGGGTTCGGTTGGGAATTTGGGAGTCAGAGGCCCAGCTCGAGGTGGGCGGTGGTTGGTGGCGGGGTAAAGGGCAGGACGGTGTCGAGGGCTGGACAAAGGATCAAAGTCGAGTGAGCGTAGATTGCCTCGTCAGCGAAGAAAAAGCAGAAGAGCGATATCGTGTCGAGGGAATGGGTATCTTGGTCAGGCTTCCGGGTCTTCGTCATGCAGGTGATGTGCAGTGGAGGACAGGAAGGCCAGTTGATTTTCAAAAGTCGGTGCAGTCTCGTGCACAACACACAGAATGTGGGGTCTTGGGAGTGCGGTGTGGAATCGCTGTGGCCCAAAGCCCGTAGTGTCGTTATCGGCCGGCAAATCGTCGGGTTGGGGGAAGCTGCCCCTCATAACAGTGCGGCGTGTGCACGTCTTGTTCTACTGCACTGTCGTCGCGTCCAGATGGCTTCACTATGGCACTCGATACACTTGCGCCCCTTATCATCTACGAAGAACCATGCGCATTCCGCAAAGCATGGTGAACAATCGGCTGGCATTGCCTAACCTTTCTGCCAGCACAACTTTCACCATCTACGAACAACCCCTTCTTCCCCAGCAAGGTCAAAAAGGGGTCTCTTTTCTCACCGCTTCGTTGTACTGACTCCCCGCTTCCTCGAAGCGGCCACTTGATCCAGGACGCTCGACAACAAATAAATGTTCGGGTTGTTGCTTGAGATCGTGTTGCTCTCGTCAACGCCGACCGCTCAGGCTGACGGATGCCCGTCGACCTTCAAAGCCCCTCGCCTGATTGCGACCTCGAACACTCATTCTTGACGATTGATTCGCATCTCCTCCCGAGTGCACGGAAAGGGTATAGAGTCTACACAGAACAGTATTGCGGATCCGTCAATGTGCTCATCGCCAAGCTGCAGCATCGCTTCAGGGACAAGAGCTGCGCAGGGCAACGTGGCTTCGGCGTTTTGGATGCACCCACAATGCTGACCATCCTGTCTCAGCTCCCTGGATGGGCGGTGAACTCGACATTGGTGTCGAACGACCAGATCGGCCATTTACAACGCCGCAACCGTCGTCGAGCACCACATCGTGAAATCCAGTCAGCTCGGATTTTCGACAGCGTAGATTATTGGTTGCGGTCGATGCGACCTCACCGTCGACATATGTGCTTCTAACTCAAATCCTCGTCATGCCCTTTGGTATAACAGATGTCCGGCCGGCCGGCCGTTTCGGCCGTTCCGAGGCGGGCATGAAGTGCGGATTTTGCAGTGCACCGGCCAGCACGTCACCCTGGTCAGGGTGGTTGGTGACGTGGAACAATCGCCATCAGCATCGTGTTGCCTGGCACTTTGATCCTGACGAAACTCTACAAATGTAGTCAGCACAGGCCATCGCCGTGACTTGAGAAGCTGATTCTGGACTGGTCGCGCCTTTGTATGATCCGAGCTCTTTCGCAAGGATCGATAGTGCCGACCTTCATATGGCGACGGCGAAAGCGAGAAGAAAGTGCAGGACCCAAGTGCGAGATGAGCGCACCCTCGTCATTATCTACCCCAGTGCCTTCAGCCCGCCGAGGCCAGGTCGGTGAAAGCCCACAACTGCAAGCCCCTGAGTCCGGCAGTCTTTTCGTCGATTCTCCGCTAGACCATCTTTGCTTGGCAACTTGGCTCCCGTAGCGTCCAGTCCAGGGCAGCCAGGCTGGTCCGTAATCCTACCACGCTGTGCAGAAATGGGGCCGCAGTACCGTCAGATTTGGTCTCCTTTTGCGGGGAACACCAAATTGAGCCCTTCCGTCTGAAATTGTCCGAAATTGAAGTCTCGTATCGTCTGTGGGGGACTGTCTGGACATTGACTTTTCGCTTCTATTGGTATCAGAAATGAGCCGACCGTATCCAACAACAGATTTCCCCGTTTTCCCCTAGGTCTCTTCAATCTGCCACCAATCCAAGAAGACCTCCTCCCTCGATCGGACCCACGCTGCGAATCTCGATTTCGGCTGGGCAACGGGAGTGTGCTGGACCGAGTGCTGGAGGCCCATGCAAAGCTCGTTTAAGAGCTTAACGTTATTGCGGTCGCTGTGCAATCGCTTGGTATTGCGACATTGGAGTGGTACGCAAACCGGGCCTGATACGGGAGCAGAGCAGCCCCCTTTTGCTGGGTGCTATGAAAGCACCCTTGCCATCAGGAGGCCGCGTCCGTGAGAAACAGTCGCGGAAAGGGCCGCGGATGGTAGACCTTCTGATGCCGACAAGGGCCACAGAGGACGGGGCCCGAGTCGTCCCACCTTCTTTCCATCGGTCACACAGACAATTAATGATCGCCAAGGAAATGGCCTCCACGCCTCTTGACGTTCATGCATGTTTGCTGTCACAATCAGAATTGACGTCATGATAGGGAGAGCTGAACAAGGCTGAGGCTGTGAAGACGATCTTATGCGCCCTTTTGCCAATGGTGAAACTGTCGGACCATGCGAGTGGGGAGTGTATAGCAAGGGATATCTGACTCGGAGAAGAGTGTGTTGTTCGAGGATGCGTTCACCGCTCTGTCATTGGCAAGTCATCAGAACCTGCCTAGGTGTGCGAGACAGCTGACGGCCGTGGCTGCAAGAACACGGGGTGGCGATTTCGCTGCTGCGTAGAGGTTGGACGCCAGGCACGAGGCAGTGAAGAGGTGGAAAGGCTCGGCTTCGGGGCGCTAAATGTGATAGTTCGTGACGGAGTGCAGTGGGCGAAAGGCCAGAACACACAAGGCTACATTTCGCTTGGACAACGCCATGGCGCGTCGAGATTCGCTTCGATAACGTCCGTGGGATTTGCCGCCCGGCCTCCATGTACCTAGGTAGGTAGGTTGGCGGTACTGGCCACGGTCCAGTTCACGGTCCACATCCCAGGGGAGAAGCGACAAACGGACAAGTACAGGGCGGCAACGTGCGCTGGTTTGATTGATCGCCTGGCGGAAGCTGAAGGCACCGACGTGGCTCACAGAACAAGTCGCGGAAAGATGGAGATCACGGCGCTATTTCCGAGAATTTGGATTGCCTTGGGCGATCCCTCCGTATTCAGTAATGAAGTCTTCTAGATGGTGCCCATTCTGGATGATAACGATGGCGACAGAATAGGGGGGGTTGGCACCATGGCCATGTGGCCCGTGTCGGTATCGCCGAGCGTGTGTCTGTGGACAAATCGCCGGGAGAAGGAAGACGAGAGGGGAAAGGGATGAACTGACATCGGAGCGTCGATCCAGGGGCAGACGCTGGAACAATGCGACGCAGGCTGGCAGGATTGCCATCAGACGGTCCTTCCCTTTGGAGGTCGGTTGTGGAGATGGAGAAAGGACGCTGGTCTGTTCCTGCAGTAGCGCCGTTGCCTTTGTGCCTGCCATTCGGCCTTGTTTTGTGCAAGCACAAACTGCCTCGTACGCACTGGGGGACGAGCTGAGCTTGCAGGGCAAGTTCGGGCCAGTCGCCGATGCTCGCCCTGCCTGAGGTACCTACCTAGGTACCTAGGTACCTAGGTACTGTCCTCATCTTTCGTCTTGGCCTCGCCTTAGCCATCGAGCAACTCCCCGAGTCAATCGAAGGACGTGGGATTCCATTCCAGCAACGCCATGAATGCGGGTGGCAACGTGGTACATGAATTCCGTTCAATCCTCTCCCTTCAGACGATGACACTACCAGCGGAGCCTCGGGGCCACATTCCGATCAAGTTCTTAACCTAATACCTTAAAATCAACGACCTTCGTATCTCTTGTTCGGCCTACGGTCGGCGGCCTCGGGCCTGGTCATCACCAGCCGTGCCAGGCCTCCTCTTGGTCGCAGCAACACATGGCGGGCGGCCTTATGCAGGCCACTCACCTCTCAGCCGGGCCGGCTTTTTTATGCATGACCAAGAGGTCGCGCCCCCCAGGTCGCAAAACAAGCTGGGCTGGCCGCTAGCACGACGGTGCAGTGGACGGCACCCAATCGCCCCAGACAATCGAAAGGGAAGGTCGAGGTAGCGTCCTGGGACGATCAACATCAGCGGTCATACCCCTTCTAGCCGTCCTTGACTCGTCCCAATTTGCCTCACAACGACCTTCCCAGGCTTGCAAGGCTCCCCTGAAGCCCGAGCTTCGTCCCATCATGACCTCGCAGAGCCTGCAGAGCCGGTGCAGATACCTGTCTGGCCCTTTGGCGGTCAGGCCCGAGTCCGTTCTACGCCGACTCCAGACCGCTGGCCGGCTCCCGAACGGGGTCACCTTGTCTGGCCAGTGGCAGTGTAGGGGCAGCTGGTCAATTTCGAGTCGCGAGATGATCAATAACCAGAAACCAATCACCCAGCGATGACCGTACACGAATCGACGCCAATGGGGGACGACCAACGTCGATGGTCCCCCTCCACGTTAAGCGCCTCAGAGGACAAACAGCAAAACCTTTGGCCCAATGAGGACGAAAGGACGAGAACCGCCGCTTTCACTGAGGCAGTGTCTATCCCCCTCCCTCAATTCCGTCTTGCCCGACTAGCCAGGAACCAGAACGGAGAGATCGACTTGGCCTAGCTGCTCCTCCACCCCTGGCTCGTTCTGGTCCCTCCACTTGCCGGGGTGTCACCCCTTGTGCCCCTTGTCCGCCCCTGTCTATCCCTGTTCCCCCTCGGCGGCGTGGGCTGTGGGTTCAAGCATGGCGGGCATCAATTTGCTGAGGTGCCATCTCACCTCCACCAAACCCCTGGATTAGCGTCAAAGAGCATGGAGGTCGCCAGGCGCGGTGTAATTTCCCGCTGGTCCTCACTGCAGAAACGCGAGGGTGGCGGCAGACAAACCGCGACGGCAACAAGCCCCGCCCAACGGCGGCGAGGCGGAGAGAGCGAGACTTGCTGGTAGAGAGCAATGGAGCGAGCTGGCTATTAAAGCGCAGCCCTCCTCTCCGATGCCTCTTCTTCTTCTTTCCCTTTCTCTTCAGCCAATCCAGCCCAATCAAACTCAAGCTTCCGCTTTTGACTCAACTTGACTTCGGTCGTCCATTCTTTAATCAAGCTTCCAGCTTACCACATTCGTTCTTAATAACAGCCACCCTTTCGTCTCACGAAACCCCCCCACCAATACCATCAAAATGCGTTTCGCCGCCCCCGCCGTTGCCTTCGCCGGCCTTGCCGTCGCCAGCTACTACGAGGCCCCCGCCGTCTCTGCCCCTTACGAGGCTCCCGCCGTTTCTTCGGCCCCCGCCGTCGTCTCCTCGGCTCCCGCCTACGAGTCGGTCTCTGCTCCCGCCCCTCTCGAGACTGAGTACTCCACCAAGTACTTCACCGTCACCGACTGCCCCGACACCGTCACCGACTGCCCCGCGCACTCGACTGTCATCACCTCGTCGGTTGTCCCCCTGACCACCTCCACCATCTACGAGACCCGCGAGCACACCGTCACCAGCTGCCCTCCTACCGTCCCCAAGTGCCCCGCCGACTCCACCAAGGTCATCACCGAGACCATTGCCGTCTCCACGACCGTCTGCGAGGTCACCCCCACCGAGGTCTACCCCCACCCTCCCCACGCCACCGAGACTGGCAACAAGCCCGAGGAGCCTGAGCACGTTCCCACCAAGCCCGCCTACCCCGAGCAGCCTGAGCACCCCACCAAGCCTGCTCAGCCCGAGCACCCCACCAAGCCTGCTTACCCTGAGGAGCCCTCCAAGCCCACCACTCCTGCTCACCCCGAGTACCCCGAGGTTCCCTCCAAGCCCGAGCACCCCACCAAGCCGGCTCACCCTGAGGAGCCCGTCTGCGTTCCCACCAAGTCCGTGAAGACCATCTCGACCTCGGTCACCACCGTCGTCCCCACCGTCATCTACGAGACCGTTGAGGTTCCCTGCCCTACTCCCTCTGCTCCCTCTGCCACCATTCCCGTCCACCCTCCTGCCGTCCCCACCTACCCCGCCGGCCACGGCAACCAGACCGTCCCTGCCGTTCCCACCGGCACCGCCCCCGTTGAGGCCGGTGCTGCCGGTGTCTCCGGCTCCGTCTTCGTCGCGGCCTTCGCCGCCCTCGCCGCCTACGCTTTCGCTTAAGCGTCTGTCTCTTCTGCACTGAGAAAAGACCGCTAGGAGGTAACGAGGAGTAATGGAGAAAACTGGATTTCACGACATCACGGAGGTGTTCAGCTGGGAGTCTCAATGTATAAAGAGGAGCGATTTGTCGTTGCTCCCTTCAATTTTCCTGGACTATAATTTAGCATCTTACGGCATGGCAAGATATCGAACACAACACTATCACCCACAGACACTCTGTACCTAATTTTCTAATCTGTACCGCGTTGTCGTGATTAGTGTTTTTGGCACGGCACGACTACGCATTTTTGAACGATGATTTTGTGGAGAATTCGCTGCAACTATGTGACTTGACATCTCCAACGTGAGCCTAAATCGGGAAGCGGCGAGTACGCAAAGTTAACGACAAAAACAGCTCTTTTCCGGGGTGGGCAGCGCGACCTTCCCCAGATTGTGGAGAGGCCAGGCTGATGGACGTTACAACCAAGGCAGAACGGCGCGGGGGGGGGGGGGGGGTGGTCTGAACTCTATGGTTCATCTCATTTCCCACGGGTGGGGCTGAACTTTCCAGAACCAGAAGCTAAGTACGTGTGCCTTGGTTGAAAGCAGGCGGGTGTCGCGTTGGCGCGCAGGCGGGAGATTGCGATCAATCTGCGCGAAACGACCGAGTGGTGGTGGGCTGCGCGGGCGTCTGTCCGGGTGTGCCCTCGCTCTTTTGTGCGCCTCATTCGTACCGTACATGTACGTAGCGGCTGGTGGGGGCGTGCACAATTCATGTCTGCATAACGGACCCTGGTGGGGGCTTGTTTTGCAGGGAGGCAGGCTGTGTTCCACGACAAGAGACAGAGAGACAAGTCGGGTGTGACGATGGGCTTTTCTGTGCACGACGACGCGCATTTGATTAGTTGTCTGTTTCTTTTTTTCTTTCTGTGTTTCTCGCTGACGGCCTGAGAAATGGCGCGAGGCAAGGAGTGTGTGAGTGAGCGGGTGTCTCTGGTTGTTTCGACAGCGCATTGAGATGGATGGCCGTGGGTGGGATGTAGACTAGGACTTACTGACCGGCAATCTTTGGGACTCGACCTTGGCGAGTCTCCTCGGATTCATCTCGGGTTCCTGTTTTATTCGAGCGATCTCTGGCACCCAAGCTACCTTTAGCACCCAAGCTACCTTTGACACTCAAACTACCTCGAGCAACGGCAGGGTTCTCCGGTCGTGCCGTCTGAAATGATAGAATGCCGTATTCCCACAACAGCCGCGAGGACTTGATTATAGGTCCTGCTGTCGTGTCTGAAGAGCCGCCAGCGGCCAGGTGGGCACTGCTGTAGGCACTGCTGCTCAGGAGCAGCATTTTCTGGTCTTGTCTCCCAGTCGCAGACTGCCAGGTATACGCAGCTGTGTTTGTGTGGTCACGCGTGCCGGGAAGTGATCAGCTTGCCACGATGGGATCCATCCTTCGCTCCTGACACCAATGCTGCGCATCAGCAACCTACCACGGCGAAGCTGACTGTCGTCAATGGACCAACACCCATTAAATAGTAGTCCGCTGACCATTGTTCGACGTCGGCTATTGATGAGGCACCTTAGCTGAGTGCCTAGATGTCGTTTATTCATGCTGTTCGCTGGGAAGCATTTTCTGCGGCTAACCCTTCGGGGGGTCATGGCAGTTTGCAACCTCATGAAACGATGGTAGCTTCTCAAGAAGCCGCTGTCCACGTGAATTCATCCGGTGCTGCGTTGCGTAGACCCGTTCGGTTCCCGAGATGTTCCGGTGATGGTTCCTTTGCAGGCTGAAGCCTCATTCTGCATCGCATTGGTTCCAGCCCAGCAAAGCCCTCAACCAACCCGGGACGTCTTCAGACTCGCGAACTCAGTTGGTGAATTTGACACCCGGCTGGCCAGTATCACCGCAGAAACCTGGTCTTGCCATGTTTTATACTGTTTCATGCCTTGAGCGTAGGCTGCCGGTGATGGTACATCATACCACGAATGGTGCACGATCATATCAAGGACTGCAGTTGAACGCTGGACAGTCTCGAAGACGCCCTTCACGAGGGTCTACTTCAAACCGCAATTGTACTTCACTTCAACTTAACGACTTCTACCAGAACACAAATATCGTGAGTCCTCGCTCGACATAAGGTTCGCGGGCACTTCTACCAGCGGAGCTAGCTGCTCGACGCAAAGCTTGACCTTGATGGCCTTATGATTCGCCTGGAAAGTCTTTACCTTTCAGACTTTCAACTCTCCCAGTCAGCCTCGCATCTCCGACAGGATCTCCAAGTCCATATCGACAGGTCGCGGCCAAGCACCATGGGGTACCTCCACGCGTCGGCTGTTCAACCAGCACCACGCACGCCTCGACACGGCAGGTGAAAGACCTCTTCGCCTACTCGACTCTTTTTCGCCAGAAGCCCTTCGAACGCCCGGCTCCTACAGTTCCGTCAGGATGGCCAAGGACGAGACGGAAGAGTTAATTGAACTGATAAACGACGTGTCTGTGGTCGAGTTTCTGCGACACCAGCCACGACCTGCGTCCCGCCAGTCCTCCAAGTCTCCGAGCTGTCGTGGAGTGCAGCCCAAGGCCACAAATGGAACGCCAATTCTCGACTTGCCACTCGAGATGATTCTGCGGATCGCCTGGCATCTCCGTCCCGCTGACCAAGCAGCATTATACATGTCGAGCAAGGCCCTGCTTCGCTGCCTCCACGGCTACCTGCGGCCAATGAACCCAATGCATCTGACAGCCTTTCTGCAAACTCTGGAAAGAGACACGGGCGTTGGCAACCACCTCTACTACTGCAGTTTTTGCATTCATCTTCACAAGTTCGACCCGTACTGGGGCATCATCAACTGGCAGGCCGGCCCACGGCAGGCGAAGCAATGCCGTTGGTGGACCAAGCCGCGGGCCATCAACTTGAAACCACACGGATGGTATGTCTTCATCACAAATTTGTTCCCGTCAGCAGTGCGAATACACTATTACCATGGCCGACTTGTTATGAACCGGCATCGGCGAGGCGCACCCAGCGGGCTGCCGCTCGAGCGGCTGCAGATCGAACGACTCACGTGGACGTGTATGGGGGTTCCGCAGGGCGGCAACGTTGTGCGTACGGCCAAGATGGAGCCACAGGTTATTAGCGACGAGCTTTTTCTGTGTATCACGACCACAGTGACAGCGGCGAACGGCGGCGGATGCTCGTTGGAGAAGCTCCGCGCGCACGTGGCGGCGCTTAACCTCCAGGTCTGTGGCCATGAGGCGATGATACTCAAGACGCCACGACACTGCATCTCACCTACCTGGCTGCTGGCCTTCTACGAGCAGTGGCGGCCCGCTATGGCAGGTAACATGGCAATCGCCGCCTGGGAGTCGTGCCCCTCGAGCAGGACGCCGGTAGTAGTGAGCTCGTGCGGCGCATGTGCCACGGACACCGTGTCCTGGTACGAGATGCCGGAGGATGCCGGACCTGTTGACAGCACGGGGAAGCAGTGGGTGTTTACGCTGAAGTCGTACCACCAGCTGGGACCGTGCCGGAGACCGACGGACTTCCAGAGGCGCGGCTTCATATGGCGTGGCTGGGAAGCAGAGACGTTCCGACCAAGGGCATATCGGGAGCCCATCCGGGATATGGTGGCCTTCCCGCATGGTTCCGTGATGGTGAGGTGGCGGGTGAGGGACACGAGAGCATTCGACTTTTCGTCCTAATGAAAGTCTTGCTGGTTACGGGGAGGGAAGGACAGCAGTGAGATTTTTGCTTGTTTGAGGAGGCTGCTGGTCTGGGGAAATGTGACCTCAGCCGTCACTTGTCAGACCGAGTCGCGTGGCGGAGACTGGTAACATGAGCGCAGTTCCTGCTGGGGGGCCACATCGGCAGCGATCGTAGCTGGGTATTGAGGGCGCAGTAGGTAGGATGAGAATCTTACAGCATTCGATGCTCTGTAAAAGATGACTTGACGGTGACCTTCGTGGCTGCCTGGCGTGGAATGCGAATAGTAGTGGTGATTGACCGGGCATGGCTCGAGAGATGGCCAGAATGATGATGCCGACGACAAGCGCTTCTTGTGGTACGTACCATTATCGAACCCACAAGGCCAAAGAAGGGGGGTAAGTCTGGGTGTTGATGATGGGAACATTGCGTCGCGTTGGGCCCGGCGCACGTTGCAACCCTTCTGGGGATAGCGTGGCTGGGCGAGATGGGCCGCACTGCCTGGCGTGCGTGCCTCTGAGTTAAGCGATGTTGGGATAGTAGAGTGCGGGCGTGGCATATGGGACGACGCGGAAGCTGAGTTTGAAAACGATCGATTTCAGGGAACTTTTGTCTGCGGCCGAATGCGCCGTCCGCGCCCCGAAGTTGCAGCCTACCTGGAGCGCAGTGCAGTCGCAGTTGCCGCTCCAAAGTCATTGCGCAATTAACTCGAGCGCCAAGATTGGAAGCAGCAGCAGGACAAGCCAAACGGAAGGGGGCGTGTTTGGTTCGTTCCTGCCTTGGTTACCAGCAGCACCGCACTCGCACTCGCACAGACTACGTGGACTTACTTTTAGGTAGGTTCCCACTAAGACAGGGCGCCGATCATCCACCGCCCCAGGGCGCTGACACGAACGGAAGAATGAGCTTGGTAACGTGCGCCAAGCGTCGCTCTCGCCTAATCGCCCAGACGGCAAACCGATTGGCAGCACGGATCTGAGTCGGCAGGCAGAACCCCCCACCTGCGCCTGACACCAAACCGCTGGGCCGCTGGGAAACAGCCACTCACCCGCCGCCCATCCTGATCGCCGAGGAAAGAGCCTCCTAAAGCGACATGGCAAAGTAGTAACTTGTGGCCACTAGTCTCAAATGGCCCCAAAGCAGGCGCGTTGCGACGGCGCGACGGAATAAGCACCGTCGCAGAAGGAAGCCGCCTGTGCTCCTACTCGTTGCTGTACACCACGTTGTGGAGCACAAGGGTGGTAGATTGGTCGTGCCCTTCCTTCCCTTAGATCGATCCTGACTACCTCGTTGGCTAATAGGCAGGTCGCGTCAGCCCTAGAAGCTTGCGTACCTACCTACCCTGCCGCTAAGGGGGCCTTCCATGCTGATCTGGCGCAGGCGCAGGCGCAGGCGCAGCCCCTCCCCGGTTGCGAGTGCGAGCGGTCAGAGGAAAATACCTACCTACCTTACCTACCCAGGTACCTAAGGTAGGCGAAGGATGCGCATGGAGAAATCGAAAACGGCATCATGGTGCGCCGCCAGCCATCGGCTGCAGGTCTCGTCAGCGAATACACGCCATATGATGACGAATGCACTGCAATATGCAACCCTGGCGTGCGGGTCAGACGTTTGGGTTCCGTGTTGGACCACGTTGAAGCGGTATTATAAGAATACTTATTATCTTTGTTGCTGCCTACTCCATGTGGCTTGGCCTAGCTGCAGACAAATCGCCAAACTCCCTCAACCGTCGAGTCTTGTCTCTCTTACTGTGCTTGGCTCCTTCAGCACGACAGCTTCCTTCCCACAACGCCTGCACCAGCTATCACCATCACCAGAACCTGTCAATCGAGATATCACCAGCCACCCCCAGCCAGGCAGACACCATGGCCACGACAAATCCCGCCGACTTTGGGGACATCCCGCCACAGTACATCCACCGCCTCGACAACGGCTCGTATGTCTTCATTGGCATGTTCAACACATACGGCCCCGGTGCCAACTGCACCCTCGACCTCTGTCCCATCGAGTGGACGGTCTACCAGTACCGCCCCATCCTCGGCGTCTCCATCATGTTCATCATCCTCTACTTTCTTGCTCTCCTCGTCCATGTCTATCTGGGTTTCCGCTGGCGCACCTGGTGGTTCGCCTCGTTCATGACCGCCGGGTGCCTCGCCGAAGTCATCGGCTACGTTGGCCGTGTGCTCCTCTACAGCAATCCCTGGTCCTTCGGCGCCTTCCTCATCCAGATTGTCTTCATCACCTTTGGCCCCGTCTTCTTCACGGCCGCCATCTACGTGACCCTCGCCCGCGCCATCGTCTTCTTCGCCCCCGACATCTCCCGCATCCGACCCCGCCTCCTCTGGATCTTCTTCATCACCGCGGATATCCTCTGCCTCGTCCTGCAGGCCGCCGGCGGCGCCATCTCCTCCGTCTCGGCCGGCTCCAACAATATCGGAGTCGACGTCGCCCTCGCCGGACTCATCCTGCAGGTCATCCTGCTCTTCGCCTTTTGCGTCTTCTTTGGCGATTACATGTGGCGCTACATCCGCAGCGTCAAGCCCGACGCCAGCCGCGCCATTGGTCGTCGCCAGCGTCTTTTCTTCGGCGGCCTCGCCGCCGCCATTGTCCTCATCTTTGTGCGCTGCGTCTACCGTGTCGACGAGCTGAGCGAGGGCTATCAAAACTCGACCAAGATAACCAACGAAGGTCTCTTCATCGGGCTCGAGGGAGTGTGCGTGTCGTTCCCGCCTTTTTCCGTTGCGTGCATGGTATGCTGACTTGTGATGCGCAGACTCATCGTGCTGGCGGCCTGCGCCCTCTTCATCGGACACCCGGGCTATGGCTTTGAGGGAAAGGTCGTGTCCGAGGGCCGGACAAAGGAGGCGGCGAACGTCGAGAGCGGCTTGCAGAGCGAGAGTACCAAGGAGAGCCCGTCCGAATAAGAGTTCTCGGTTGGGTGTCTTTTCATGTTTGATCTGTCCTGATAGAAAGGTTGGTAATTTGAAATGAAATAGAGCGTTCCGTCGGGTTCATCTGTTTCCCGCTCCGATGGCACTGAAATGCCACAGTTCGTGGGATGCCGCGGCTCCTACGAGCCTCCATATAGCGACCCCCGTCGGGTGGCAGATCTGCAAGCGACGTCACCGGCTCATGCTTGGGTGAACGGGGAAAAGGTCGTTGAGTAACCACTGTGGTGCGTCTCAGACTGGGTACACCGGGTGCCCGAGACATCTTTTTCATGTTGGCATCCACGGCTCTGTTGTGCTCGGCCCGCCCATTTCCTCCCTTCCACCTGACGCTGACTCAACACCCACGGCTGTCACAGTGCTGATGAAAGAAACCTTCGAGCCAATGTGAGCCTTCCAACGATAAGAGAGTTGCGGGTCTCCTACGACGATGCTCGCAGACGACCTGACGGGGCTCATCTGCATGTCCAAGTAGGCAAACAGGTCGCCAGCCTCGTCTGACCATTCGTGGATGTGCACAGCGCACCGCCATCCAAGTACAGGAAGTATCCGCCCAGACACGACGTCCACCTCTCCGCCGTGCACGTATAAGTAGATTGAACAACCACCCCACCCCCCCCCTTCTCGCCCCGACGCGGCGGCATACACATTTGCAAGCACGCCACCAAGACCCCGCGTGCCCGCCACGGCATCGCGGGCAGAAACAGGCTGCACCGTGCCCTCGAAAGCGCGAAGCCCCCTCCAGACATGCAGACGCGGTTCACCCTCCTTACCCCTGAGACAAGTCAGCGAGACGGGGAACCGAGGGGCGCGGGGCTTCGTCTACGTCATGGCAGAGGCTGGAACACGGAACTGCACGATGCTCTCGCGCCACGGGGGAGATGCCATCGGACATATGCCCACAATCTGACCTCGACTGCAGACTCTCTACTAGGAACGGTAGACGAACCCGCACACGTCGTGCACCGCGACGGACATGCTCGCGCGTCATGCAGAAGTGGACCCTCGCGTGGGGTGTGGATCCTCGGCCCCATCCGAGCCTAGCCCGTCTGCCTGTCTAGCCCCCCCGTCCGACTCGGCACGGGGCACAGACCCGACCATCGTGGACCCCCTCCCCAAAGACCCGCGGACGCGCCGCCCTCTACCCACCCCTGGTCGCTTCAAGGCGGAGCCAACGCGCGACACGTCCAGAGTTTCGGCAGTCTCTGAGAGAACCCAGGCAGAGAAAGAGAGGGCCGTGTGCGCCGTGTGCGCCTTGTGCTGCGATTAAGCCTTGACTTTTCAGATTGAAGGCTATCTCTACGACGTTCGCCTCGTCTTTCCAACATCCTGTCGGTCGGCTTTTCGTGTCTGTTGCGACTTGTTCAAGTGAACCCCCCCCCTTACCCCTTACCATGCCCGTCTGTCCTCTCTGTGAACGCCAAGCTCGAAATCCCAAGCAGCCGTGATCGCCGTGTAACACAGATAGGCCCTCCCTCTTTGACATCTTTCTCGTCATGTCGGGCCCATTTCCAGGATCCCCCGACATCGACAAGTTTGTTCCCTTGCCCACATAGCGCAAGTTCAGGTCGAAGGTGGCAGCACAGTCCTCGCCAAGCTCACAAGACCCGTCGTAGCACCGCCGAGCGACACGCCCCCAACCGGCTTCGTCTCCTTCGCGTCCTCATCAGACACAGAATCGGGCACCTGAGCAGCGGCAGCGGCAGCGGCAGCAGCAGCAGCAGCAGCGACAGCAACATCACGCGTGGTCTCAGCCCGCTTCACCACCGCCACCGCTTCGTCCTCCGACTCGGCCTCCCTCTCCTCCATCTCAGCCTCGACCGTCGCATCGCTGTCGACGCTAGCTTCTCGCACCGCCCGCTCCGCGGCAACAGGCACCGGCACGGGCCGCCTCTGCAGCCTCTCGAGCGGCACGTCGGCCTGTCCAGTGCGGAGCTTGTAGTTGGCGAGCCCGAGCCGCAACCTCAGAATCTGGGCTTTCTGCAACAGCGTTAGCGGCGTCATCTCTCTCTTGCTGGGGACAGGAGCAGGAGGGATGTAGGACAAACCTCTCTTGCCTGCGCGCGCGTCAAGGGCGCCGCCACCACCGACCTCGGCCCCAGCGCAGCAACAGCCTGCTGCGCCAGCTCGGGGTCCGTCATGGCCGTGTCGTCGTGGGCGTTGGACACGATGCTCGCGTCGAAGACGGACGAGACGGCCGGGGAGGCGGATCTCGTGCGAAGGGGCTCTTGTGATGGGTATTCAGGCGTCGTTGTCGCTGTCGTCTTCGGCATCATTGTCGTTTCCCTCTCGGCCTGCCGTTTCCCCGCATATCAGCTTCATGTCACTCTTTGCGGTCTCAGGCTGTAAAGTGAAAAAGAAAGGTAAAAACATACCTCGATGCTGGCCTCACGCCTCGGCGAACAAGGCAAACTTCGCCTCGACGGCCGCTGCTCCTCCTCCGCCGCCGGGTCCTGGCACAACTTCTTGGCCGGGCCGTTCTCCTCACCGCGCGACACGACCTCCTGCAGCGGCCTCTTCAGGCCCGCCGGGGCGCCGGTGCTGAACAGGCCCATGCTCGCTTTGAGGGGCGACCGCGCCGGAGCCGATGCCGCGGACTGAGGCTTGAGGGAGAAGGCGGCGGCGGTACCGGGCGAGCTTGCGTTTGCGTCGAGGGGCGCGAGGGCGCGTCTCTTAGTCGGAGAGTCCATTATTTTCTGAACCGTGGCGGAAGAAGGGTCGACTGTATGTCTCTGTGTGTGTGTGAGGGAGAGAGAGAGAGAGAGAGAGAGTCCGAGTTTTCGGGTCAAGGTGCCCTTTGCTGCAGATCGTGCACTGGGCTGTTCGTGCAGGAGGAAAAAAAGCAATGGGTTGCGTAGGTAGAAGAACGCGGCTCAAATCGCGTCCCACCACAGACGGGCTGTCTCCCAAAAGACAACAAATAAACAAAACGTGGTGTTGACGCTATGGAGCAGGACTGGGTGTACGTAGCCCCAAAAATCACCACAAAGCAAGGTGTATTTCTGAAGTTCGGGGACGGATGAGGGAGGAAGAGAGAGATGCAGAGGGTATCGTGAGAGTCTGGGACGTGATGGGAGAGAAGTAATGGTAGCGAACGAGATTCGGCCACGGCCAGCCAGATAGAGACCGACGCGTGAAGACGAACGGGGCCGACAAGGGGTGCTGATTGAACACCCTCTTCATCCCGCGAGCGGAACGCGTATTGGCTCATTTGTCCTGGGTCGCGTCAAGAGTCCACGGCAAAATGCACCCCCTCACATGACCCCATCCACGCACCCCCACCCCCACCTTACCAACCCCCAAAATCAACAGCTGGCTGGTGCATTACCTTTGCCTCCCCCCTAGCCTTTCAGGGTCCATCAGAGGCGATATTGATGTTATTCCCCTTCGGGTTAGCGCCCTATCGCCTTCGGGGTGTCACATCAGTGTGGCACGCGTTGGTTGTTGGCGTTGGCGTCGTCCTGCAAGGGACCATACTCCCCATGGCCATGGGGAGCCATGACTATGGTACATCGTACATCTTCCATCGTACGTCTTCCATCGTACGTCGGCATCTCCCATGTCACAACGTGCTCACCGTGCCCACACCGGGCTGACGGGCATCCTCGCATCTTGCATCAGCATGGTGCAACATGTATCGAAAGAACAGGATATCATTCCGAGCCGTGTGTACACGGCTACCTAGACTGGTGATGAAAGAAAAATGTAGGAAGAAAAAGACGAAAAAACAAGAGTCATGACCCGAGGGTTGGCTCAAGCATTATGCCCGCACCCCGTATACAATGTCAAATGGAAATCCCAGTCCGTTTCCGTCAAGAACTGTGATCCTCCAACTTTTTTTGGTCATGCTCCACTGCCCATCCTTCGAGAATACGCCAGCGCTTTATTGCTCCCATGCTGCCGGTTCCCCACCGTTCGTCAATCGATACGTCCTCGTCGATCCGCCATTGCTCCATCCTTCTCGAGGGGGGTATATCAACACCGCGAGCCGGAAAAAAAAAACATAATCAAACAGATGCCCTGATGCCCGGATGCCCGGATGCACCCATCCTCTGAAGCACATGCCCAGAGAGAGAGAGAGAGAGCAAAAGAACCCAACTCCAGGGCTGTATCCAGGGCTGAATACGTCATGCTCGACGACATACGTTCCATAGCCCTACACATCCATCCCGTACAGACTAGCGTCAAGCTGCACCGGCTTGTCGAAGTCCACGTGCACGTCATCCCAGTCCGGGTACTGTTCAATCGAGATTGACTCGCCAAACATGCTCGCGTCGAACTGCATCCCGCCGTCTTGCAGCGTTTCAAGCCCGTCCATGTTGATCTTATCGATATCCATAAGCAGCTCCGCGTCCATGCTCTGCCAGTTAATGTCCATGTCGTAGCCGGCGTTGTCCGATAGTTCGCTGTTGGGCTCCGACAGCCCGCTGTCCTTGCTCGACTCGGGCGTGTCGTTTGGTGTCAGTGCCCGGTAGACATTCATGTTGGTCATGGCCCCGTTCATGCCGAAATCAAAAGGACCAAACTTCTGGAACAGCGTCGACGGGTCCACCGTATTGGCCCGTGGGTCCATCGTCGCCTGGGGCACAGCGCCAGATGCAACAGCTTCGCCCGCCTTGTCGGCCCCGGCCTTCGCATTGGCTCCTTTGACTGCCAGTTTGCCGCCAACCTTGCTGGCCGTCCGCTGCATCGAGACGTCACGAGACATGGGCGTCGCTGCCGTACTGACTGGCGTCAGTCCCTGCTTGATCGGAATTGCGCCCGCCGCCTGCGCGTCAGCGACGATCCGCCCGTTCGAGTCAAGGCCGAGGTAATCAGCAAGGTTCTCTTGCATAAACTTGATGGGGTCCTCGAGCGGCTTGACATGCTCCTCCTGAATGTGCGCCTGTCGAGCCTGTTCCGAAGGGAAGCCAGTGCTAGCCATTTCACAGTCGGGCTCGCTGCACAGGAAGGCCGGCTTAGGGGGCGCAGGAGGC